ATGTGGTGTGTGCACAACCTTTGTACATTAAAAAACACAACACAATGTATATGGAATACAATCACTGGTTTATACACATATAGCACGACGTTTCGAGAAGTATTCTCTTATCGTTATCAAGTACAAATGATTGTATTCCATATAAATTGTGTTGTGTTTTTTAATGTGCTCAATCACTAAATGCCACCCAAGGATTATAACCTGTGTACATATTTTGCATTTTTCGTGTAAGGCAGGGATTTTGATACACACCAAAATCGAACTCATGCAAGATTTTTAATCCTGAACACAACCTTGGTATACGTATTACATTTTTCCCCAGTTTGTTTGGATGTTTCGGCCCGATTTTCACGAAATTCGAACTCAATCATGATTTTGGTGTAACGGTGATATATTGGAATGTTTTTTAAAATCAAAAACAAATTGCTATAATCAATAAAGGTGCAAATATTGACAGGAACCGAAATCTTTGGGATATAAACATATTTCACGTTTCGTCAAAATTGTGACATGTAGAGTGTCCGCAAAAAAATGTGAATCGACGCCCGGGCGGACAGGGGTGGCAACATGAAAATCTTGCTGAATGAAAATTAACAGATTGTTTTTTTTTGTTGTTTTTTTTTTGAGGGGGGCGGGGTCAAATCTGATGTGAATCATCGGGAATAATTAGTATAGAAGAAATCATGCTATGATGTTATATACATGGCTATTCATTTGCATTAGTATGTAAACCGTAATTTAGAAAATTTACAATTGATACTTTGTCAATAATATAAATAGAAATGTATTTATTCACCGATTTCTTCCACCCATACATTTATTTATATTAGCTTCAAAACACGATCATCAATACATGTTAAAAACTATTGACGTTGTCATGACGCATTGGAGCTTTCTTTTGTTAAAATGAAAATAGGACTAATTGGATATATAGTAATTTGTTCCTACGTTGTACTTAAACGATAAACGTGGTCGAACTATATTAGATTTTAGGAATTACAACACAAGGCTGTACATTTTATTCTATAAAATAGAACTGAAATCGAAAAATGTTCAGTTGTAATACTGCCGCGTTTGCAAATACAATTCTATGGAAATCTGCGTTTCCACCTACTTTTTATCCAATTATAACTGTTAGCGCATCTTTTACATGCACTCCAATTTTTATCTAAGACAACACTTTACTTGTGAGCCGCGCATGTTCTAGCACTAACTAGTGGGTACATGGGTTAAAATTCCAGAACTTTTTTCAGGCTCGGATTTATACAGTCCTAAGACCATCTAGAAAAAAGAGCTAAATTTTGGATGTTTGGGTTTGGCCTGGTTCACTGATTTTTAATTGCCTGGAATGCTAATCTAAACAACATGTCCAACTTGAGTGACATTATTGCCCCGATATAAATAGTTCAGTTAGATACATGTTGATAGCTATAACCCTGCCATTGTGGGTATCAAATGACAACATTTTAATTTCTAAAATAAAAAGCTCTTTTTATATAAAACATATTTATCGATGATGAGGTTGATAGATAACAACTTAACACTATTATATACAAATTACTCAATATGACACTTGAAGAACAGCCTAAAAGTATGTAATACAAGGTTGTGGTCCCTTTAGAGGTAAATTTAAATCCGGGTAACTTTAAATTAATATCCGTGTTTACGAAGAATCCTATTGATTTTAACCAAATTCCGATAATTACTGCCAGAGTTACATATATGGCCCTTTATCACTTTGAAAAATCTGGTGGGACGCTCTAGGGGCTAAAGTTAATATCCGATTGACTTTAAATATATACACAGTCTTTAAGCCTTAAGGTCATCCGACGAAGAAGCCTATTGATTTTCAACGATTTCTGATAATTACTGCCAGATAGTTATCAACTGATTGATTTTATATTCATACACCGTGTTTACGCCTATATATAATAGTTTCGATTGACTTTAGATTGATACAGAGTTTAAGGTCTTGAGACGAACAAGTATATTGATTTTCAATGATTTTTGATAACTTGAACAGCTAAATACATGACATTAAGTGTTTTGCATATACGTTAGCATGGGCCAAACAAATTCTAATGATTTTCTGATAATTACATAATGAGTTGTTACTCTTAATCAGATTTTGGTGTATTTTAAATATTTCATTACCGACAAATATCTCTGTTCCTTTTGATATTCACGCATATCAGACCTAATTTCCCGTCTTATGACCCCAATTGTACGAGAAATCACGTTTTTATCTTGTCCGATTATACATTTACATCCCAAAGTTCTGGGTTCCAGTCGATACTTCGGACCGTGTCTGCCTGGATTATGATACCTGATTGTACGAAAAACTTGTTTTTAAAGCTTGTTCTCTGTCCATCTCTCGCAAAATGTTGGCGTCTCTTGCATGGCAATGCCTGTTTCCAAATATATTTCATATTCATACTGTATATTAAATAACAAATAGATTGTTTTGAGGTAACCTTTCCCTGTATTTAAAAAATCAGGAAATGTTCATATTTTTGCACGAACATAAGATATTTTGGGATCAAATTTTCTTTAATAATAATTGATAAGTTTGTAAATAGTATTGTACCTTGTAGTCACATATAGTACATGTACGATGGCTCAATAGGCCCTTTTCTATGGAAATAAATATGCATAGGTGAATGTAAAGTGCCACTGGCTAGAGTTATACAAAGATAATGTGCCCAACAACGCTTATTTTACTTATGAATATTAATCTTCCCAGGAAAAAGGTCCAAAATTGGATAACATCAAATTGGTCAATGTCAAAGTATATCAGTAAAATAGTGTAAGATATTTTATAGCCTGGCTTAGAGAAGTTGCTGTAGATATTATCTCATTAAATAAGCTTATTATTATCGGTACTTTATGTAATATTTGAATCAATTTTTATACGCCCACATTTTCATGTGGACGTATATTGTCGTCGCCTCTGTCCTTCCGTCCGGACGTCCGTCCGTCCACAATTGTTTGTAAACACTCTACACGTCACAATTTTTATCTGATTTCAATGAAACTTGAAAATATAGGTTTATCCCCCTAAGATCTCGGTTCCTATCGATATTGGCATGTATCGGACTGTAAATTCATGGATTATGGCCCCTGATTGTACGAAAATAACGTTTTTAGCTTGTGAACAGTGTAGAGGTCACAATTTTTATCCGATTTGGTTTAAATTTGAAATGTATGTTTTTAACCCACAGATCTTTCGATATTCGCGCATATCGGACTATAACTTCCTGAATTATGACATCTGAGTGTACGAAAAATCACGTTTTAGCTTGTGGACCCTATAGAGGTTACAATTATTATCCAATTTAAAAAAAAAACAACATTCGAATATATCACCGTTACATCGTAATGTTTGTTGAGTTCGAATTTCGCGAAAAGAAGGGCCAAAACTGCCGGACAAAATGGCCGTCCCTCGTACGAAAATAGTGTAAACATCTGGTAATCAATGCTGTGGACCCTCCAGAGGTCACAATTTTTATCCGATTTAAAAAAAAACGTGTGAATATATCACCATTACACACTAAGATCTTGGTTCCTTTTGATAATCGCGGATACCCGAACTTAACTTCCTGGATTATAGCCCCTGATTGTTTGAAAAATCACACGTTTAGCTTGCGGATTCTCTAGAGGTCACAATTTTTTTTTCCGATTTTAAAAACCGTTTAAATACATCACCATTCCACCATAATGAAGGTTGAATTCGAATTTCGGGAAAATCGAAATGAAACTGCCCGACAAAATGGACGCTCTTTGTACGCAAATTGTGTAAAATAGTGTGTGTAATACAAAGGTTGTGGACCCTCTAGAGGTCACGATTTTTATTCCATTTTGATGAAACTTCAAACATATCTTTATATCCCAAAGATCTCAGTCCCTTTTGATATTTGCACATTTCAGGCCATATCTTTCTGGATTATTGCCCCTGATTGTACAAAAAAATTGCGTTTGTTTTTAGCTTGTTCTCTATCCATCTCTTGGAAAATGTGGGTATATCCTGCCTGGCAGCCGCTGGTTTTTATTATTATACTAAATTGTTATTAAATTTGTTTACTTCTATATTTAATTTGATTAGTTTCTCTAATTCAATTTAAATTGAACATCTCATAGAACCTGATATTTGTATGCCCTGACTAAAACAAGATGCTGTAGATATTACATCTAATTAAATAAGCTTATTACTTTATGTAATATTTGAATCAATTTTATTTTCATGATATAATTATTATATTAAATTATTATTAAATTTGTTTATTTCTACATTCAATTTAATTATTTTCTTTTATTCTCTTATTCAATTTTAATTTTAATTTCAATTGAAAATCCCATAGAGCCTGATCTCCAAATCATCTAGCTTTTATATTCTAAATATAGAGCAGTGTAATATGACACTTATACACTGCACCATCTAAATAGATAATAATTGGGCGACAATTTATTATCTTTGAGAAGTTGATGACAGGATTCTCTTCAACAAACTTCCATTATCTGTGAGGTCAAATTCCTAAACTTGAAGAAATCGGGCTGATTTCTAGTTAGTCTTAAGAGTGTATAACCGCTGAACTACGGCAGCCAGCAGCCAAGCTTGTGATTCTGCTTTGACTCAGTGGCTTCAGTTTTATCTTAACAAAAATTGGGCGCCAGTGTCAAAACTGAATAGTATATGAGTGATTTGATCAGTTATAAGACGAACAGTTGAATTCTGTAATCTTTTGAGTAGGTTTATGTGGTGTGCCAACTAACAAAGAATAAAAATTATCAATGTGGGATTTAACAAGTGACTGTATAAGAGATCTAGTGGTTAAAGTGAATAAATATCTGCGTATATTACTTACATGTATGTTGCGTATTGTCAAGTTTAAAAACGTCCCCTTGGACAAAAGTTATATCAAAATTACAAACGTCAAGGAGAAAATACAGCTTTTGTGATTCTCTGTAAGTCTATCTATTATGAATTTTTTTTCTATATTAAGGTACTCTATCAGTATCCAATGTTCCACCGCCTGTTTCAAGAACAACTTTACAGATCACTTGTAATAGTCAAATAAACTTAACAATTTACTCCGTTGCCGTACAGACTGGTTACCAACTTTTATTATATAGAGAGGGTAAAGAATTTAAATTTTACTTATAGCATAAAAACAAGTGACGTGAATTATTCTATCTATTGTTACTGCACAACGATATATGGCTAGCATTATGCATCCAAGAACCGGTATGCTTTACATTTGATGAACACCTGGGGATCACGTGGCTAAGTGGGTAAGACGCTGGCTCGTTAGCCTGGAGGTCGGGTGTTCGATCCCTGCATTGGCCGAGAAAGTTCATCCAGATTTTCCGGCGTGGTTTCCCCTTGTCAGTGATGCAGGACGGAGGGCCTGACAAGGACAGCTGTCTAGTCGCTCGGATGGGACGAAAACCCGAAGTCCCGTGTACATATTGGCGTGCACGTCAAAGATCCCTTGGCAGTTGGAATTCAATATAAGAGTAGCGCCGCTGCCCGGGCAAAATTTCCCTCATTGCACACTGTATGGCGTATGCCCGTCTTTATTAAGGCTGAGTCACACTAGTGGATTTATCCTTTAAGTAAAATCCTATCGAAAGTCTTGAAAGTTTAGTTTAGTTTAGGAGCAGAACAGTAGGACGTTAAACCCCATTTAAATTCATTTCATTTTTTTGATGAACAACTGGGATTAGTCGTGTGTGACAAGTTTAGATCGTTACTACTTAACATCGATTATGGTTATCCTTAAAGCCCGATTGTCATTTGCATTTTCAGACATTATCTATTTTTTTACAACTTAATCCACGCTAAAACGTACTTTAAATAGCAGTATTTCAGTTTTTAATTTTCGTTTACAGTACATTTGGTAGCTGGGCAGAAATTTGATGTATTGATGATAACAGATGAAGTAAATAAAGCTCTACAAAAAGATTTTCACATATTTTATATTAAGTCTTTACTGTTGAATTCACGGACAGCAAGTTTTATAACGGCGTATTTACCCAATACAGAAAACGATTGGTGTGAAAGTGAATTTGGACAAAATAATGAGACGACTGTTTCCCCCACTGGATCATCTTTTAATTCAAGACAAATTAATGAATTTAGTATAAGTGATGCTGTTTTCAGTGTTTTAGAAATGATATCAAATTTAGATCATTTAGTGTTAATGGTTGAGAATCATTATGGTAAGTACACACTACTTTGCAGTTAGAATCCATGGAAGCCAATTACAAATTTCGGGCGACACTTCTGGTGGGCGTTCCATTTTCTTTACCCTCCATAATTGTCAAACGGCGGAGACATATTTGAGGACCAGAAAGAAGGCCTTGATGACACGGCCTAAGATTATAAACGCTTCACAAGACTTAACAAAACAAATGCACCACATTTGGGCCACCAACGTACCTGTCACGATTGGTTTAAACATTAAACCCAGCCCTGATATTGGCTATTCAGCCGCCAGAATTAAAGACAGAAAGTGGGTATCAACCGCCAGAAGTTAAGACAGAAAATGGATACGAAATGGGAACGAAATGAAATGGGGTTTAACGTCCTACTGTTCTGCTCCGACTGGGCTAATGGCGAAGTGGTAAAATAAACATTTCATGATTATTTTAAAACCTGGAGGGTGCAAGATGTGTAAATCTAGTGTGATAGAAGTGATAAGCAAAATTTTTAAAGTGTTTTATATACATTATTTAATATTGTAACATTGTTGTACCCTTCTGGAATATTATTTCTTTAATAACTATAATTTTCGAACATTTTATAGCGATAATTGGTGATGAAATCAAGAGGAAAGTTGCAACTAGAGGTGTTCAAATAACCTACTACCAGACCCGCATGTTCACTTCAGATCCAAATCTCATTATTACCCTAGAGACTATACACACTACCAGACAGAAATATATACTAATTTTAGCTTCTCTTAATAGCATACAATATATCTTTCAGCAGGTAAACTGCACATTCAATTTCTTCTAAGTATATAAACAACTATGTTTTGATAAGGATGCATTATTCAAGAGCTTAATTTGCCTAATTTATTTACATGCTAGGCCCATAAGTAACTTCGGATGGTTTTGATTTTCAACAGATTTAAATACGACTGACAGTTAATGATTTAATTTAAAAATGAATAATCGAGACTTTGTACATTATCGTAACAACGGACGGGAGGAATATGCTGCTCTGCAAACGATGATAACTCCGCTCAGAATGAAGTAATTTGACTTAAATTTCAACATATCCCCTGTTACTATTATACAGAAAACTGTATAAATCTTACATATTATACAGGTCACAATTCTATGGAATACAATTACTGCTTATTACTGAACGACTTTTCGACTAAATCTTACATAATGCATCTTTAAATAATACAATATTTTACACCTGTCAATAGTGATTCCCAACTGTATGTCATCGGCATTGTAGCTGATGATTTGTCATTCTAACCGACACTGGTCCGATGTGAATATTAGCGCAACCGCTGTTATCACTAAGAAGGATTGAGTAGGGACAAGTTAAAAAAGGTCGTTAATAGTAGCTTTTTATTTTATGTAAATTAAATTCTAAGATCATTGACTTCAATGCACTACTATAATTTCATTCGTTAAATATATTCCCCGGTAGTCGAGATTCCAAACAACATGAAAAATACCATATCCGTTTATAATATGAAATCTCCACAGTGCATTAACAGAATGGGTTAGTGGTCTCTTGTTTATCTCTTTAACCATCTTTTCGTTTCTTACAAAGGTAGATATATATGAACACAGAAAGGGGAAGAAGTTTACATTAAGTCAAACCACACGATGGCTGACGGTTGTTCCCGAAACAGATGAATCGAAGTCTATGATACAGGAAGCATCATATAATATAAATAATATAGCTGTAATAACTGTACCTAAGATTGGTATCATGAGAAAAATATCGGAGGTATGCATTCACTGAATCAATACATAATCGATCAAACAGCTTCTTAGGTTTGTCACAAAAAGAAGTTATTCAGTATGAAACCAAGATGAATGAGTTCGATCTTTAAAGGTCTTGTAATAAAGTTCAGTTTTTAAAGGGCTTATAACAAAATTAAACGCGTATAACAACTCCGGATTCTTCTGTTGCAATTTGTCTTTTGTAATAAATTTAAAGTTTTTAAAGGGCTTATTACAAAATTATGATGACTGGTTTCTATGAACCGTAAAGATGGGTACAGTCGACATATTGCATTCTATCTGAGTCAGAACATATTCTTATGCAATGACAGCGAGGTGACATTAATCTGTTATTTCATTGGCAAACTAAAACTTTGTGGGTTTACTTTTAATTTTCAGTATTTATCGCTGTCTCCATTTCATACCAATTTTCTGTATACATTATTATGGAAGCCTGAAGGTCGAAGATTAAATCTTGTTGCGTATCTTAACAGTAGATGTATTAGGAAAACGAATAGAGATATATTTCCAAATGTTCACTTTGGACTCAACAATCGAACATTAGATGTGGTTGTAAACACTGTAAGTAGCCAAATAAATGATCATCCCGACTGTTTCCACATGAAGGGTAAATGTTACGCATATATCGTCAAATATAATCTAAACGTATACCGTACGCGATATAAGCTCCAGGTTGGCTATTTGCATGCGGATTCGTTTGTTTATCGCACATTACTTGCTTAAAGCCATTGGCCAGGGATCCTATACGAGAGCAGTGTTCTGTGGCATAAGTACAGCTTTTAAGAAGACCTGGCGTGCTGAAATCTGTCACAAGCTTAAAGCTGCTAGGTTACGAGGAGACACCCTTAAATGGTTTCACAACTACTTAGAGGGACCAAAACAGTCTGTTGTTACTTTTGGTGTTTTACCATGGGGCTTCTGTTCTCGGACAACTTCTTTTATTGTTGTACATCAATGATGTTGTGAATGAATCAAATGTTCGATTCTTTATTGACACAACTACTTAGAGGGTCGAAAACAGTCTGTTGTTGCTGGAGGTTTCACCTCTTACTAAAAAAAGATTTTCCCTAGGACGTTCGATTCTTCGCTAACGATACCCCACCCTCCTGCCGCTCGCTATCCGTAAATAATTGACCCTACCCAGTACGCAACTATTCTTAAACGTGGCTGGTATCCATTAATCCACTGAGATCCGAAGAACTGACAACAAAACAAAATCTTTTTTATCTACTCTTAAGCTAAATAGTGTAACAGTGTTCCTATCAAGGAGAGGTCTCTGATCACAATCATTTGGTCTTTTACCTTTCAACGAAATTGCAAATGGAATAAACATATCAATCACATTGATTTTGTTTTAAGTAAAGTTGTCAGTTATATCGGTTTAATATTCCTTAAATACAGACTAAACCCTAATAAATATCTATGCGTCTTCATTTTGATTATTGTGACACCATCAAAGACAATTCTACGGACAAGCTAGCTGAAAAATTAGGCCACGCAACTGGATGCACTTCGGTCCATATCTGTTGCTGTACGGGATACCAGCCATAAACTGTTATAAAGAAACCGTTTTTATTACCCTAAAAGAGAAACGCAGAAGACATGAACTTTTTTTTATAAAAGTGTTAAAGGCCGTTCTCCACAATGATTGAATCTTAACAAAATGTAACTGCAATCTCCGTACAAAACACTTTACCTGAATATCAGTGTATAATAAATATTTTTTATAATTCTTTCATACCATCGCCAGTTAAGTCAGAACAAATTAAGCCCAGACACTAAAAATTAACCTTCTTTAAATACATTTAATTCGAAACTAAATCCTTTTTATCAAGATCCCGCTTAAACCAAACCATTCATTGGAAACTGCGTCTCGCCTGTAGCAGTCTGAACGAACCTAATTTTTTTACGTCATGCTTCTGACATTCCATTTTGTAAATGTGGTCACTAATTCGAAGATACTGAACACTTTCTCTTGAATTACTCCTTATATTCAGATGCCCATATTAATGCAATGAACAATTTCCTGTCTACTCTTCGAAACGCTGTTATTCTACGTAACGGAATTGATCACACTGGGGGTTTTGTAAACATTTGGCGCGCGGGGGTCGACTAAAATAGTTTAGTTCATATTTAGGGCAACGAGGTACACACACTCACTTTGAATAGAACATGTTTTCAATTGTGTGTCTTGTTTATTTATCAAACGAAAATACACGTATGTATATCTGACAAGAATCTCAACAATTTAAATGAAAACATTTTTTGTGTCGTATTTCAGTATGAACCTTTTATTTATAAAACCATTTTAAAAAAAGAAACTGTATATACTGGTATATGCATGGATTTATTAAAAGAACTTTCAAGATTAATGAATTTCAGGTGCGTATTGATGATAGTCGCTTCAGTTTAATACAAATATAGAATAATCGACAGCCACCCCTTTTCACGTTTACCTTTTCTAGCATAATAAATGAGAACCCTTTCGAAATTGAAAGTATTATAGAGGGGTAGATTACAGGCATTCACTTAAAATTGGCTAAATTTAGCTAAATGAATGTGGCAGTCTTTTTAGATTAATATCCCTTGATATTTGGTTCATTGTTTCAAAAAAATTAATTGCCTGTAATCTACCCCTCTATAGTATTCACAATTTTTTGCTTGAAAAATAGAAAACCCCTGTTGATTTCCAAAGCGATAAATCCCACCATCCCCAAATTATTTTTAATTATAATTAAATCTTGATTATAGAGGATTTATGATGATACTTGCCTTAATAAAATGCGTGTTCCATTATTGAAATTATGTCAAATTTTAATATTGGCTCAGATGGGTGACATTGAAGATCAGTAATTGTTTAACGATATAAGATGGTGACTTGCAGACTTCTGTCCCCAGTGCGAAACTATATAAGACTACAAAGTTATCAATCGATCTTTATAAAATTTTAATATGTAAAGATAAGTAGAATGGACAAACTTATCGATTTTCAACAATTTCCGATAATATCTCTTCGTTATCATTTCAGATTAGATCTTTATGCAATTTGATTAATTTGTTTAGATATTGCAAAGATCATTAAAATTGTGACACGGATGACAGGGTATATTTTCATCAACCCTGGATGTTTATTAAACGCTTGATTTGGTGTAATAGTGTTTCATTTATACGTTTTTGTCGTTATTATTTGACCTGTTGTGTACTGTTTTGTATCTTATTTAGGCCTACCATTTGACTTGGGGACGATTTGGAGGTTTATGTTTTGTTGTTTTTTTGTTTTTGTTTTCTAGCTATATAATCGTTCAGTCCCAAGATGGTGAATGGGGAGAAGTAACTGAAGATGGAAATTGGACAGGAATAATCGGTGAATTACAGAATGAGGTGAAACAGTACAAAGATTTGATTCTGAAAATCTTTGAATATCTTTAAAGACAATTTATCACACAATAATACATTCTACAGAAGATATCGCGTGTGTGATATATTTCATAATCTACTGCGATATCTCGTTAGGAGATATCGCTTTACATGAATTTGATTGGTCAGTTGAAAAGGAACTACTTTTTTTATTTTCAAAGAACAGTTCATTTCTTATTAAAAGTAACTTTTTTTATATTAAAAATGAACTATTGTTATTCAATTTACCTTGATGGAAACACTGGGTCAATATGAAGGACTTTGCAATGGTTGAATTGCTGTCAAAAAATGATGTATCACTACGCCGTAATGTTCAGTAAAAGTGAAATCTACAGCAAAGAATTATATTTATCCATTTGTGCATGTAAGAAGGGATTGGGTGATAAATAAAATCCCCTACTCGTCTTATTTGATATCAAAAAATATCAACACTTTATCAACTTGTGTTGATATTTTTTAATATCAAAAAAGACTGGTAGAAGATTCTCTATTTATACAATTGTTTTAATTCTATAAATCTGACATATTATCACTAGCAACTAATGTAAAATTATCATCTTTTTCAGAAAGCGGATATCTCGGTTGCCCCTGTATCAGCGACGGCCAAACGTAAAGAGGTTGTTAGCTTTTCGTATCCATTTTACATTGAACACACGTCTATTATTCTAAAACCAGCAGGTGAACGTGAAAATAACTGGTTCACGTATTTTAAACCTTTTAGCTCACACGTGTTGATATGTGTGTTAGTTTCACTGGCACTAGGAACCATGGTATTGTTTGCTGTTGAGAAATGGAATCCATTTTATGAAAAACACCCGAATACTCCAGTTCAGAATTTCTCGGGTGTGTTTTGGTATCTTTATGGGGCAATGTTAACACAAGGTAAGAAAAATGTTTAACATCAAATAGAATAGTGAGTGCAACATTCAATTACCAATAATAGATCTACCCCACAACTAAATTATATACCTTTAATCAATTATTGAAATATACATGTAGGTCCAAGTAAACAATGTCCAAGGACAATTATACAGCAGAAAAAAATTCCAGATGCGTATATCTTCAAATAAACACATTTAATCTTACTTGAAGTATAAACTCCTAAGGGTTTTACTCCAACTTTTGATATCGTAGACACTTACTATAGGAATTACTATATGATTGCAGTAGCTAGATTACAACTTTTTTTTACTTTATTTTTTTGTGGCCTGAATTTTTGGCTGGCCCTAAGGAACGTACCTTTTTTACCTAATTGTTAACCCGACACTGCGTAGACAGCTTCAACTCTGAACTGCCCTACTTAAACGGATGATTAATTTACCGAGGCATGAACTCCGGCGAGGTTTTCTTCCATGTGAGAAAATCCTTTCATTCACCCTGGGAGACCACTTTTATACCGCCCATTGAAGGTATAAGAGAAGTACCGTTTGTGCTCTACCCCATGTAACATAAACTTGTTTTCTCTATTGTTATAACAGTTTTGCTTGCGAGAGCTCTTTGTATGAATGATGAAATATTAAATCGGATAGTTGTTAACAATGCGTATCACATATTTTATCTGATCACCTGATTTCAGGAGGAGAAAGACTTCCAGAATCACTTGCAGGGCGGAAGTTCATCAGTTTTTGGTGGTTATTTTGTATAATGTTGGTAGCTATTTATAGCGGTAACCTTATGGCTTTTTTAACCATTGCTCGAGTCAATGTACCATTTGATACGTTAGCAGGAATGGTAGATCAAGATGAATATAAGTGGGGTACACTCGGTGGTTCCGCTTACACGGATCTCTTTAATGTAAGTTCAGAACATCTGGTACTACTTCCCATTTGTTTAATTCACTTGGCTAACACATTTGTGGTTATTTACTATTGGGCTGGCGACTCTGCTCGAGTAGCTCCCGGGGAATATAATCCTAGCTGGTACAAACCATTGCTCCAGCTAGGTGGGGACGTGGTGGGTGTCATAGTGTATATTTACTCTTTACAGAACACCTGGTGCTACTTTTCGTTTGACGAGTTAGGATGTTTTAGTTTAGAACAAGAACACTAAAGCCATGTGACCTATACCCATGTTGGTCCTTTTACCCGGCCGACCGTCACAGTGGAGTTTGTTAACTCGAAAGAGGCTACAGTTTGTATACGTCTACATGAAATTTTGTTGTCGCCCCTGCCCGTCCATATGTCCGTTCACATTTGTTTGAGGACAATCTATAGGTGTTAAAATTTTTATCCGTTATGGGCGAAACATAAAAATGTTTATATCCCAAAGATCTCGGTTCCTTAAATACTGTCCCATATCTGGAAGTAACTTCCTGGATTACGGCCCCTGTGTGTACGAAATATTACATTTTTAGCTTGTGGACACTCTAGAGATCCCAATTATTTGATTTTAAAAACCATTCAAAAATATTACTGTTACACCATAATTACGGTTTAGTTCGAATTTCGTGAAAACCGGACGGTAACTTCCCGTCAACATGACAGCCCCCTTTTACGCAAATAGGTGCGTAAAGTGATTGATTCTCTGGAAGTAACCCTTTCTCTGTATTCAGATGGCACTTAACATAATTCAGGGATCAAAAGATCCTGGAATAGTTTGATTTTGGTGTTCTACAGTTATGGCCCCTGTTTTGTGCAATATTTGAAATATGTATGAAGTTTGCAGGAGTTCCGAAATCTACAATTTTGTCCAATTCATTTAAAACTGAATGAGTACGATTATGGATCGCTAAGGCTGTATTAAACAAGATATTGAGTTTTTAAATCTTTGTTCTTTCACATTGAAATATTTATACGCTGGTATTACACAACAAACAGATTTGTGTTTATAATAATCAACATATTAAACAATGCATATTTTGATCATTGTTCATTATTCCCAATAATATGGACAATTTCCTATGGCATAACCTTGACCAGTAAGGACAATATTTTAAAACAGACATGTTAAATTATAACGGCAAGTATTTAATCAGTTTTAACTGATTGTTTTTCAAATTCGATGTGAAGCAAATAGGGCAAAGAGAGAATGAGCCCTATTGGTTTTCTCTGTTCTTAATCCATTTATTGCAAAATATGGGTCTATCTTGTATGATAATCGCTTGTTAACTGATAGTTTTCAAATTCGGTGTGAAGCATTAGGACCACCCTTCAGTTCCAGAATAACACCCCACGCCTGTTAACGCGATAGAGGTTATAGTTTTGAATATATGGTGTGAAGCATTGGGGACATCATGTTCCTGAAGCAACGACTGTGAGTTTTACAACATCTGGACGTTGCTAGATTACTTTACACTTCCCGATTATAGCAACGTTATCTGAAGACACGTGAACAGTAGCGTCCAATCAGAGGTTATGACATAGCGACCTCCACGGAAACCTTGACATGCAACGAACCTTGAACTTTGCAACTCGATTATCACCCAATCGGAATTAGCGCCGAAATATGCAGGGTATTGCGTGAAGGCATTGATAATATGTACGTAGTTAAAGCGAGATTGGGGGGGGGGCAAATAGTTAGCACGTTCGCGCTGTATCATAAGGTCTGTCATTGAGTCAACTATCGTGGTTTCGATTCCCCGTTTGTACGTGACAAGGAGTAGGGTCGCCTGTCCAACCTCGTGGGTTTTCTGTGGGTCCTCCGGTTTGAATCCACTGCTAAAAATCCCTACGCGCAAGCGAATTATTGAAATAAAACTGAACCATGTGTTATTCCCGAAATGACCTAGTTTGTGTTGAGTGGACGTTAAACCCCACTTTTCTTTCTCTCTAAAGCGAGACCAAGCCTTCTATTGAAGATGTGGGGACATGGGCAGACGTGCCTTATTGATATTCAGCTCTCTTTAGGCTTCAGTGCCTGAGTCCCCCCTCCCCTACTTTTTCCCAAAATCTTATTTATCAGATAGAGGCTACAGTTTTTCCCAAATTCAGTGTAAAGCATTATGGTCATGATATAACTAAGTCTATCCGTATTCCGTTTCCGCTATCTGTTCTAGATTCACTCACCCTTCTACGAAAACCTTGTTAACTCAATTGAGTCTGCATTCGGCGACCTTCCGTTCCCGAGTTACCCCCACCCCACCCCCTCCCTCACATCCAACTTTCCCAAAAAAGGTGACCACGACATAGACTACAGCAAGTTGAAACCACCACAACCCCAAGCCTAATCCCATTTTCTAGCAAAGCCTTGAATCGGATTGGGTGAACTCTTTTTCATTCCAGCAAGCTAGGACTTTCCAAAGATATGTTATGCGTTCGGAAAAGCTTCTGGGCAAGAGAGAGATTAGATTTGGTTCACATCCAAGTTTTCCTTTCAGATAAACTGCTGTTTAGACATAGCTGTAGTGTGGGCGTATTTCCACGCTTTGTGTGGCTATCTTTTTAAATTCTATTTTGTAATTACGCACACCCGGATATAAAAACCATCGGGGCTAATAGTACGAAAAATATAGCAGGATTATTATTACATAAGACGGGAGTGTGAAATCAGTCGAAAGTAATGTAAACTTTAATTGACCATAAAATCGATCGATTTGAATACTTTTTGCGTCCAATTTTTTTTAAATAAATGTATTTTTTACGGTGTATGGTCTATATTTCAGAATGCCACAACAGAAATATACACTCAAATTGGTAATGGACTTGCCCGTTTCAGGAAGACAGATAGTGACGTCATAAGTTCTGTTCTTGATGTTCACAAAACTAAATTGACGCAAGAGAAGTATGCCTATGTTGGAGATATGATGGCTCTCCAGTCATTCATGAAGGCAAATAACTGCAGTTTACATATAATAAAAGAGAAATTTCTTCCCCTATACTACAGTGTTGCTCTACCAATGAACTCTAGTCTACAAGATATAATATCTAAAGAGTAAGTTGTATTTTAGGAGCCGAAATCCGTCCTAAACTATAATGGCGTAACCACAGGTTTTATATTGGTACGACGTTATAATCTAAGCGCACGGCTTAGACCATTCTCCGGTCACCACCCCAACAAACTGGAGTAGAAAATGGGGTTTAACGTCCTACTGTTCTGCTCCTACTGGGCTAATGAGGACGGGCATATGAGGGGAATTTGGCCTACTTTTATGTCGAATTCAATCTGCCAACGATTAGACAGCTGTTCCTGTCAGGCCCTCCGTTCTGCACTACTGACAAGGAGAGACCACGCAAACGGTCTACTCGCATTAGGGCTTTTGAGAATACTTTTTAAAAAATCTGAGGGTTGGTGGACCAGTGAGAACGGTTTCATATCCATGTTCAGAATGGCAGATACATGTGAACCTTGTATTGTCCCATAAATTAAGACGTTTTAAGTAGGACCAGGGATTTTGCAAACGTTTTATGATGAAATTACGTTTGACTTCACACTAAAATAAGGCAACCGCCTTTCATAAGGGTTTCTTTCAATTTCAGAATTATTCGAATAACTGAATCTGGATTATTAACCATGTGGATGAACAAATGGTTGAGAAACGGTAATCAGTGTTCACACACTTCATCATCGTCGGTCGCTGCTGCAAGGATACTATCTTTAATTGACGTTCAAGCGGCTTTTTATATTGTGTGCATAGGAATTGTTGGATCCTGTTTCGTTCTTTTATTTGAACGATTAATACGCCTCCGAACTGTTCAATGTAAAATCTGCAGAGTTAGAAAGAAGATAACAATATATCAGTGAATGTTTTACTATTTTGAAGCGATTTCAAAATCAGTGGACCCGTTTTCACTCACAGTAAAACCTATTTCACTGTATATGGAATACAGGAGTGGTATATTTGATTTTTGTCTTTCACACTGATTTTGCAAGCTTTTAGAATCCTTATTATCAATTAGTCAATTACTTTCACACTGTAAATTCCTCATTCTTGAACTTTTTCTTTAAATATTTCTAAAACTATTACATTAGGGTAAATTATGTCATTCGAACTAATATCGTTAATTTCATTTTGACGTATAACATCTATCGCAATGGAGAGAGAATGATGTTCTTAATATCGGTGAGTTTAAGATCCTGGAAACATTTTTAATAGTATTTATTTATTTTAGAATCACGGATGTATTCTTGCTATATGAATTGTGAAGGAATGCCTTCAGCTTTCAATTTCATAATGAATGGAATAGCTGAATCTGGACTATTAACGGTTACGAAAAGATAATTCGTGTCCGCCGACTTCATCATCTTCTGTGGACGTGACAAAGATACGTTGATTATAAACCGTTTCGTACGTCGAGACCGCTACTTTATTGGCTAAATGTATGAAAGGTTGGGCTTTATTTCCATTCCCGGTCCACTGTATACGGTAAACAATCTAGTTCTGACTATATTTTTGTCATGTTAATAACTAGTTGTGTAGAAACGAATCCCGGGGACAGACAACAAATAAATCAGAAGGTCCAATTGGTAGTCGGACTGGTACAACTATTGACGAGACTACATAATTATATTAATCTTGAGATAAAGTCAATATATGGGATCCTACTTTTGTATATAATCTCAATGTTTACATCAGTACTTTGATATAAATAAATTTAATTTCATAATAAATTAGATGCGAATGAACTGTCTGAATATTTTGATCGCTCTGAAGGTACAAAACAGGGTTGTATTCTTAGACCTATGTTATTTGTTATGTTTGCAGATAAGTTTTATGAGCTCTTGGAGAATTTAACTGAATTGTTAAACACGGCTGTCAATGAGTTAAATCCGTTGTGTAATTTGTACTTGAAACGATAAGTGATTACTTGTCGAAACGTCGTGCTATATGTCTATAAACCAGTGATTGTTTTCCATAGAAATTGTGTTGTGTTGTTGTTGTTTTTTTTAGAATAATATGGGTCTTTGACCTAGAATACTTGACATATATTATTGGTACAAATGTGTTTATCGGTCACGTCTTATTAGTTATACGTTCCATTTGTGACAAGTTTTAGATTAGTTACGGTTGAATAGATTAGTTTTGTAGGGACAATTCGCGAGCCCACTGTGTGACCTACTCAATACAGTTGGACAGTGGAAAGCTGTAGATGATGCCATTTTCGAATATTTCTGAGCAGGGGCGCTCACCCTTTTAGAATAAAGTTTTTCAAATAACTTTTCTCTGTATCATGTACTAAGCATTCGCCTAATAAACACCTACACCAAGTTTGAATATTCTAGTTCAATTAAAAGCAGGGTTATTGTGACCCAAAAAGTTTACCAGGCAGATAGACGGGCGTCGAACCCAATTTACTAAATAATAAAATGTAGCAATAGTGATCTATAACTATAAGCAAACATTTTAATTCATTTAATGTCATTTCTAAAATTTAAAAGAAAGATTACCCATTGATATGATTGTTTATTGCATAAATTTAAAGAAAACTTCTATATTCAAGAATATAGACTCATTGATATGATTGATTATTTCATAATTAAAAGAAAGTTTAACTATTCTCAAAGAATCAGAAAAAACCTTGCTAAATTGCGTCCATATGTCCGCCTTTGGAAATCTTAAAACTCTAATAGCTTAGGTATTGTGGGCAGACAATGTGAAAAGACGTAATGATTAAACGAAGAAGTGGAACAACTATTCGACGATGTTATGATAATTCACTTTGATAATAACTACATGTTATTTCGTTTCTACAGCTTTACTATTAAACTGCTTGCAAAGTTTCTATGTTTCACGTTTTCAATAAAGCATTGATGATAGCTGCTAGGAATTTCACTCAACTCCCTCTTGTATAACCCCTAATTTCTGCACGTTATAGACTGACCTAGGCGTTCATTTCCTTCCCAAATATGGAATAAGCACCCCCATTCTCCAAAAACCAGGGGGAGAACATTACCTTATTTGGTCTATTAACCACATGTCATACACTGATAGAATTTGATGGATATTTTGACAATGGTAAGAACTTTACTCAAATATCACTGGAGTTTTTTAATGTATATAAAAATATCATTCGTCTTCATTAGTACGTAGGATTTGACTCACCAAGTTTCTTAACTAATTCACCCGATGCCAACTTAAAGATTGAAATTCATAGTCAACGATTCGCATGAACCTGAACCAACTGCATACTTGACACTACAGTCCCTGAAATCGTCAATAAAGAAGAGTTGTTAGAAGAACTGTACAGTCCATAATTGAAATCCAGGTCTATCAGAAACCAAGTTCAATATTCCTGTTGATTTTTTGTTAGCACTTTCCTATCTACCCGTAATACATTTATACCCCCAAACTCATCCATTCCCGAGATATTGGAGTTTTAAGGTGCCAATGGCGGCCATATTGGATTTATGCTAATTGTTGACCGTATGACGTTATGGCGTCACAGGGAAGTCACCTGGCATTGTTTTTCTAGTTCTTTGGTAGCACTTTCCTATTTACTCCTAATACATTTACATCCCCCAAACTCAACCATTTCCGAGATGTCGGAGTTTTATGTTTCACTGGCGGCCATATCGGATTTATGCAAATCGTTGGTCGTATGACTGTATGACGTAACAGGGACGTCATTTCGCTTTGTTTTTCTGAGCCATCTGTACCACTTTCCTATCTACCCGTAATACATTTACACCCTCCAAACTCAACCATTCCCGAGATAGTGGAGTTTTAAGGTGCCAATGGCGGCCATATGCTAATTACTCGAAAACCTATCTTTTTATTTTGGGCGATTTTTGTTTGGGGGACCTTCAGGGACCCCTTTACCAGATTCCATCGAGATAAATTTTGTTGCAATTTATTCTAAGTATCCATTCCATATGGCTTATCTTTACCCGACTAAATATAGATAATATAAGATACACTACTTATCATATCCAAAAGTAGTTACGTTTGGATTATCGTTAAAGGAACTAAACCTTAATATTCGAAACACGATTTGGAATTAAAATTTGGTCCATTTCAATTAATATTCATGTTTTATATCTTAAAGGGCCAATCCCGATAATTTTTTGGAGAATAAAACTGCTTAATTTTGTGTTAAAATCCCTTAAAATTGTCTACCTAAGGGCCAAGCAACTAACTCAATATTTGTGATACGTTTTCAAACAACTTAAACCCGTCAGTCTTCATCTGGAAATGGAGACCGGTGTCTCAAGATGTATTATGCGGTATCTGGATAAAATAAGACTTTTTTTTATAAAAAATAATGTGTTGGTGAAATTTACCTTTCGTTATCAAGTACAGCACGTGGGTCGTGCACTGTATAGACCTCTCAAGGAACGGGAATCGATCATCAAGTCACCCAAGTCATACGTACTCGGACATTTATTTTTAAGTCTCTGTTCAAATCGGGATAGTCCTTTAACGTGAAAATATGGGATTCTCATATCAACTATATCAGGCACTGAACTTTTTAAAATCACTACACGAGTCGGGCATTCTACGTATAATTGTTTCGAGCGCCATTTGTAATGGAAAAAAAAACCTATCCCAGAAGACAACGTAACGCGGAAGTAAATAAAAATAGCTGATTCAATAGCATCTAAATAATAATATATAAACAAACATGTTGAAATGACTAAGCAGGCGCAAATGACTGTCGTTAAATTTGGAATGTTGTGTATTTCACCGATCGTAATTAATTAGAAATTACAATAACAATTTTTCAAAAAGGGTGTAAATCACTTTATATATGCGCATTTTATCTTAATGTGTGCTTTTAAACCCATGTTCGTCTATATTAAGGTTACAAAGAAAAAAGGCTATATATACGCCCATTAATGGATATAATGTATTATTATTTCAAAATAAAACCAGCTTCTGCACTATCAAATACATGTCGCCATACAGAATGAAACAATGTTACTCCGCTTTGTCAACATTTGACTTACCCATCATTTTCCTCATTTGTTATAAAACCATTTAAATTATTGATACGATATGTTTATTTATACTTTTTACAATATTCTTGTCGATGATTAGCAGCTCAAAGCAGTCACTGAAGAGTGGGTGTGAATTGTGGAGAAAAGGGAATGCATGTCGTTTCATGAATATTTGTTTCCGGTGTCAGATGGCCCAAGCTTTTAAGGCTGATTAATGTGAAAAGTTGGGGCACGCACTGTACATCATAATGTGAGAAATCTGAATGAAAAGAGTAAATGCAGATGTGGCGCTCCGAGAAGATTTGAAAAATTCCCAAGGGACCCGCGCGTGGTATTTAACGGTTTGATTATCGTCTGTTCCATAGGAATCTCTAGTTTATTGATGCACACTTGGTCATAACCTGGTAGACTTAAATGAATGTGAAGCATCGTCGTCACGATCCCTGTCGATAATTAACATCCTGTGACATTTAGTAGTAGAGTTATGCCAGTTTTGCCGAAAACCATGTGATCTCAATACAGGCTATACGGTTTTTGACGGTTATTTTCAAACTTGGTGGGAAGCATTTGGGTCATGAGAGGACAAATCCGATCAATATTCAATGTTCCGCGACTTTTCGTTTAGGAGTCACCCCCTTTTCTAAAAACAGTGTGAATCCGGTA